CTTGAGGGCCAGCTGTCAGGAGCCCTGATGCAGCACAGTCCTGGGAGAGCCTGGCCTGTCTGCCACTCCCTCTGGCCTCCCTGGGCCACCCCAGGCCTCTGTGCTTCCATGGATTCCCTGACTGCAGACTGGCATTCTCAAGAGGGACCTAAAGCACATCAGACACCCACCCAGTCTTGTGGAAGCTGAGCACGGAAGGGCCGAGCTTTGGTGGACTTGTGCCTCCCTCCGTGACCAAATCTCCATTTCCTCCCATCTGCAGCACCTTCTGAAGGGCACAAGTGTCCGGCCTGCTGGTCCTAAGTCCCTCTCACAGGTCGTCCAGCTGTTCTCTCTCTGGATGACCTGGGCAGGCCATGCTCTGGCCCTGAATGCCCCATCCCCTGCCCTGGGAGAGGGCCTATCCTTGCCATGATGGCCACGACCCCCTTGGGCTGCCAGACATCCCGTGGGGACTGTGCTCAGCCCCTCCCGCCTCCCTCTGTCTGGAGAGTAGGAAGGGCAGGACGCCTGGGGCAGCCGTGGCCTGGCCTCACGGGTTGGCTGGTGCTGGAACTTCCAGCTGGTCTCTGATGGAAACGGTCCACAGGCTCCAGGTGGACTCAGGCCATGGTGCAAAGGGACCTGGGGCCTCCATCCATTGCAGTGAGCTGCAGGTCATGCTGTGGCGTAGTGCCAGCCATCGTGGAGGCCAGGAGTGACCGCTCGGGTACCTCCACTTCACTGGAGGAACAACGCCTGAACCACACCCACCGTGACCCTCGAGCTCTCTGACTTGGGAAAACCCCAAAGGAGCCATCTAATCCCTGGAGAGGTCCCAAAGGGCTTTGTCCTTTCACAGGACCAATGCTAGTACCTAACGAGCAGCACGTTGTGGTTGTAGACTGCAGACTGGACGGAAGCCGCAGGAGCTTTAAGGGTGGGAGGGGGAAAGGCCTCGAAATCAAACAGTCCAAGTGGGAAGGTTTGGGGGGACCAGAAGAGGCAGGTCCAGGGTCCCCGATGGGACCATCCAGGTCCCAGCTCAAGCTGGCCACGTGGTCACATTGTCCTCTCCCTGGAGGGCAGGGCTCTAACTCCAAAGAGCAGAGCTCGTTCATTTCACTTTATAGCTTTTATTTGGAGTAACAGATCCCTGTAGAAATCACGACACGTATTGTTCAGGTACCTGCATTTCTCAAGGAAATCAGACTCCCAACTTGACCAACTCCCTCTGGTTGCAAACCTGAAGTCGACACGCAAATATAAATGCAAAAGGAGGTGTGGTGTACGAGGATAGACAGGGACGAGGCGAGCTCTTCGCAGTGTGTCTTGTTCACATGAGAGTGACCTGTGTGCTAGTCAGATTTCACTGCTGTGGCCAAACGCCTGACACAACAAGGAGGAGGAAAAGGTTGTCTGGCTCACAGTTTCAGAGGTTCATCCATGGTCAGTCCATTGCTCTGACCTGCGGTGAGGCAGAACATTGTGGTGGAAGGGTGTGGCTAAGGAACACAGTTCACCTCATGGTAGCCAGGACACAGAGACAGAGAGAGAGTCTGGAGGAGACAGTCATGGCCAGGAGAGGCCTTCTCACCAAGCACCACGGATCAGGGGCACTCAGGGTTAGGGAACAGCCTGCCCACATCATACGAAGAGAGGCCAGCTGTGGACAGAGAGAGGGACAGGGGTGGGGGAGAGGGGAGGAGAGGAGAACCAGGGACAAGATAGAGTCCCCAAAGGCACACACACAGTGAGCTACTTCCTCTAGCCCTGCCCTACCTGCCTGTGGTCTCTACCACCTTCTAGTCCATTCAGATTGTTAATCCAGCAAATGGATTAATCTATCAAATGAATCATGAGGTCAGAGACCTCACAATTCAATCATTTCTAAAAGTCCTGCCTCTGGACACTCTTTCACTGAGGACCAAGCCTCCGACATGTGAGCTCTTGGGGACATCCTAGATCCAAAGTGTAACCTGGGAAATATCTTCGTCAGGGTTTTAGGTACCCCCTGGTGTGGGCTTGAGGTGACTGGACTTGGGGATCTGGTTCTGTGGTGTGTGGTCCTGAGGCTGGGCACGGGGCTGTGACTGTTGGCTCTGCTGCATGGGGCATCGTGCCAAACCACCAGTCCCCCTGAAGGGCAGACGGGAGGAACGCCTGCCCCTGGGATTTTCTCTGAGCAGTGACGGAGGACTCCACAGACAGCGCCTCGCAGGGCCTGCTCCCATGCCAGCTTCCACAATGGCATCTGCGAGAGTGCAGTAACAGAAGCTGGATTCCACCAGAATCAGGAACAGAGACACTACCGTTCTAGAAGGTAATGGACCCCTTTACTCCTTACCTTTTGGCTACTCCAGGCTGGTGGCCAGCCATCTCAGTGACCTGGCAAAGCGCCCCTCCTGGCATAGTTCAGAGCCAAGTGGTCCAAGCCACAGAGGGACCCTGGGCTTGGCTTCTCCAGTGGGTGGAACACGTGGTGGGGGGTGGTCCTTCCTTGGCAGCTGGCGCTCCGCAGCCCTGGTACTGGCAGTGCAGGTAAGGAGGGCAGGCTGGGGGCAGAGGGGCAGCTCTCTTCTTGATTGCGTCAGAAAAGCCTTTGGAATCCCAAGCCAACTCTGACTGCATGGGGACCTTTTCTATATTCTATTCTACGTGTAAGCATTAGTCTGTGCACGTGAGCTGATTGGTGGATCATCATTCTTGTGAGATTATAAGTAGGGACAACCAGGCCATTCAGCACAAAAGCCAGATTCTGGGGTGAGGTGTGAAATCCTGAACTTCTGCAGAGGATCTTTCCTATCCTGAGGTGTGCCTGGGTTGGCACTGCCCACCTGAGGTCCCTCCCTTCATGCATATTCAGAATACGCTGAGCCTCTGCAGTCACCAGACTCTCTGACCTCAGAGCCCAGCCACAGTGGGCTGCCTCGTCCAGGGTTAAGTCCCCCTGGGCAGGGGATGGCTGGGAGTGAATTGCTGATGTGGGATCTGGATGCCCACAGCATAGCTTGGGACTGCAGAAGGGCAGCACCGCTGCCAGGCTCCTGCCACTGGGCAGTGTACAGCTACTATATCTCCCTGTCTTGGTCCTGCGGATGGAGGAGGCAGACCTGATTATAGAATGAAATCATACAACGTCTCGATGGAGAGCCAAATGTGGGAAGGCTAACCTCCCCTCCCAGCGGCAGCCTCTCTTCGGGAGCCTAACTAACCACGGACCCTATCTCTCGGGTTGTAGATCCTTTCTCTAGGAGTCTCTCTCTTGAAATGTGAACACCCTGTGACAGGCTTTCAAGGCAGACAGGGGCCTGTAGAGGGTCCTTTCTTTTATGCTTTGAAAGTGTCTGGGATCTGCAGGAATGTAGCTCATCACTCAATTGCTAGGCCAATCACCAGCTGTCTAAACTGTAACCTCCTAGGCTCGATTCTTAGAAACACAGCTCACACGAGGCAAACCTAAGTCATCTTGAGTTCCTACTGCCTGTGGTGAAGGCCACTTCGCCACGAAGCATTGTCTTTGTTCGGCGCCTGTGAACTACTTCTCCTAAATTCCCTGTGCAAGGTCCTTGGTCCTGTAGGCCAAGAATTCACACCCACCAGCATTGTGACGGTTAAGAAACGATGTCGAATTTACTGTAAAAGCCCCATGTGACCTCAGCTTGGGGCCAGGACTTCTAGCACTAGCTCATCTGGGTCTGCCGGTGTAGATAACCTGAGTCTCCAACCCTCCAGCGGTGCTTGGTCTCTTGCTGAGCACGATTTCCAGAACACGGCCTTCCTCTCTGACCAGGGTGGCTCCTGGGTCCACTGCCCAGAACGTCCTCATGTGGCTCCTCATCCCTGAGCGCACCTTCTGGAACCCAATCTAGGGCAGCAGGTTGCTGTGGTCAGGGGGCCTCTATGTGGCTGGGTGGGGGCCTTTAATCCTGAGGGTGCTGCTGAAAGCTCAAGGGTCTGGGGGTGGAGGAGGGTGAGGGACCCATTGGCTGGGCTTCCCAGCGGGGCTCTGGCTGCTTCTCATCTCTGTGGTGCCCACCCCAGCGAGTGGCCCTGGAGGGAGGGCTCCCTGCTCAGCAAGGCTGCTCTCAACATTTGCCCTCTGGGCAGGGCACAGCTCACAGGCAGAGGGCTTGAGGCCCCACTCCTTCTCCAGCAATGCAAACAGAAAAAGGAAAAAGAAGAGTAACGCATCGCCTCTGACGCACCGGAGGCTCCTTCTTGAACTAGGGAAATGGTTTCCCCCAGGAATATTTTAATTCAGGCAGCCTTGACCTTTAGTTGTCTTCTCCCGAGAATTTTCCATGTCTACTGTTTTTTGAATGTGTTACATCTACTTTCCAGAAATTCCTTGTTGACTTTTTTTTTTCCTTTTGGTAATTGGGGTTTAACTCTGGGGTACTTAATCACTGGGCCACACCCCAGCCCTTGTTTATATTTTTCTTAGAGACAGGGTCTCACTAAGTTGCTTAGGGCCTTGCTAAGTTGCTGAGGCTGGCTTTGAACTGGCGATCCTCCTGCCTCAGCCTCCTGAGTTGCTGGGATGACAGGCATGTGCCACCGTACCGGGCCACTTGTTGACTTTCCTAAAAGAAAAAACCCACAAGCAGATACGAGAACCTGATTCCTCCAGTTGTCGGGAAATGAGAATGTGACCGACTTCCACTGAGTGGGTTGCATTTAATATCACAATGATCGAAGCCGTGTACCTCCACTGGGAAGAAGCTGCCGGCACTCACAGCATGACAGAGAGATGTCAATCCTCTAGAAAATGGTGGGCAGCACATGAAATCTGCTATTATTTTAAAGCTTCACATCCAATTTCATAGTTTCCTCTGTGCAAATTACTGCTAGCACGTGTTCCTGTTTCATGTACACAGAACACAGGCATGAAAAACCAAACCAAACTTAGGAGAAGCAGTTTCTTATCTCAGTTTTTTTTTTTTTAACTCTTTGTATATTCTATTGAAAATAACCACTATTTCATGCAAAAAAAAAAAAAAAGACAAATAAAAAGTATCTTTAGATGACTTTGCAAGATGTGCTTTATTTTAAGTCAGCCCTGAACCCAAACTACACAGGATCGTGGTTTTGGACACATTCTAACCATTCAATGGTTTTTCTCAGAAACTGTGTTTTAGTATGGAATGCAGACTATACTCAGTCATAGCTTTTCATGCTACATTGTTACTCTGTGGAGAGGATGTATCACCAAGGATGATAATTTAAGAAAAAGCCATTTTAATTTCCCCAAGCTTAATATACATATTTCTTTCATAATTATGAACTTAAAAAAACCCGTCTCAGATGTAAAAATGTGAAATGGAATATGTAAACTCTTTGATATGCCTGAAAAACAGGAAGGAAAAAGTCACATACTGGAAAACGGCTGCTCGAATTACTGAAATGGGAGAAGCGTGCTGGGGGCGGAGGAACCGTGGTGACCTCAGGCGTGGCGGAGTCAGAAGTCAGGGTGCTGCCCACCCACTGGGCTGGCCTGCTGGGCGGTGGGGCAGGGACCCTCGGGCTCGTGCATGCCACACTGCGGAGGGCTCTGCTGGACTCGGCAGAGCAGGTGCCCGTGGTTTGTTTTGCTGCTTTGTTTCCTGAGACGTCACTGGTGTTCCACGGGAAGATTTCTTTTCAGTCTTCAGTTAGATAAGGCAGTAAGAGTATGGCTAATGGGATCTTTTTGCTTAGAATGGGGCTTACCCTTCCGCGTCCTTGGGGCCCTGAGTTCCCCTCCCTGCTCCCCGGGAACGAGGCTGGGCCTTCTGCCTCCTGTTTCTCCTGCCCAGCTGCAGTGCTGAGGCTTGCCCAGTCCCCTTGCAGCTGCTGCCCAGCCACACGAGCCCAAGGGGCACGCAGCACCCTGCAGTGCAGGTACAGCCTGGGCACAGTACAGGCACTGGCCTTTCTCTGGGGGGAGGGACCTGGGAGATTCTTCACATGGTCCATCAGAACGCAAGACGTTGCTGACCACAGCCAAATCGCAGCCCTGACCTCAGAGAGGGGACTGCAGACGACCTCTTTAGCAGCGTCTCGCTGGCAAGGTGGCCCGGCGGCAGGAGGAAGTCAGCCCCTTGGGCCGCCCGACAGAAGAGAAGCCACTTCCTAGAACGAGAAACACTTAGCTCTTAGGAGAGTATTGTGCTTTTTTTAAAATCCAAAGGTTCACATTACCCGCAGTCTGGGTCCCACGGTCTCAGTTTGTTTTTTCCCTTGTCCACTTGATCATCGTTTCTGGAGAGCGGTACAGGAATATTAATTTGGCATAGAGGTCTTCTTCTAGTTCCAGTTCCCCTGTCTCTCGGACTAAAAAAATATCCGTACACAACTTCAAGATTCGATCCACATTCGGAAGCTCTTCAAACATGATGGAGTGGGAGATCCCACTGAAGAACTCCCGGACAAATTTCCCAATCACGAGGACGACCGAGGCATACAGTCCCATGATCCTGAAAAAGAAAAGCAACCCCGTGAGGAGCAGCCACGTCAGCAGGTAGCGGTGGTCAGCAGACACGTGACAAGATGTAGTTGGTGGAACATGATAAAGTTGGTAGAAATGCAGTTGGGCTTTATGTCCTTTTTTGAAACTAGCTCCTTTCACTTTACCATTTCCATCTCAGAGATCCTGTTTGTTTAAGGTCTAGGTGGGAAATGATCTCCTGTGAGGCTCATTGGGAAATGGCACACATTTTGCTGTCTTGCAGGGGATGAGCCTTGGGATTTAACCATGAGAAAATAACAAGATGGCTCAAATCTGTTTAAAACTGGGATGTTTTACCAAAAGCTGGAGGCAACCAAAGCAGAAAAGTGGGAACCCTATGCACGATCCCAGATTCAAATGCTAAACGGCATTAAAGTGTGCCACAATAGGAAGGTACAGAGAAAGGGTGCCACATGCCACGGCCACGGGAGTCACACCAGGCACTCTGATCTCTGGGCCTCAGGTTCCCTCCATTTTAAATGAAGGGCCAGCTTGTCCATCTTCTAATACAGCAGCCCTGAAGCTGGGAGTTCTCAGAAGAGAACTAACTCCTAGCCCTGGACCCCATGGGCTAGGAGTTAGGCTCTTCTGATGGCTCTTTGGGAAAGGGACCCTTACCCGTAGCCGGCCAGGAAGCCCAGGCTGGGGGGACTGACTTTGTCATTGAAGACCACCAACTCCAGGGCTTGCGACTCCTGATCATAGATTCTATTTCCTGTCAGGTTGAGAACCCACCACTCGCTGTTGGAGTTAGTTGAATTGTCTCTGGACAGAATGATGGTGATGTTCATGAAATTGCTTTCTGGAAGGGAAGGAAAACAAAATAAAGTCAATGTGAGAGTTTTAAGATTTGATGCACTAACAGTTCTCAGATGGCAAAACTGGGGCACTCTGGGCAGCCTGTGGCTCCAGGATGGGGACCTAGGGACACTTGACAATGTGAGCAGAAAGGAGCAGGTTCTCTTTCTCAGCTAGAGAGGCCAGTCATGGCTCTGTGTGTGGCGGCCTGAGCACAGGGAGATGGGGGACCCACTGCCTAAGCAGGGTGCTGACCACCCCAAATGGCTGAGTGGACACTTAGAAACCTAGATACCGGCTGTGGCTGGAACTGGTGACTCATTCACATCACCAGCATGCACTGACTGCCCCAGGAAGTTAGGGCTGCAAAACTGCATATAGAATTGTTCTTCATCTTATGGGTAAAGACAATGTGCAGGCACAATTTATGATCCTGGGGCAACCACTTTAGGTCCAGCATTGCTAGGTCTGTCTGCTGGGGAGACTGCTGCTGGTTAGTACGATCCGTGGGCACTTCCTCCAATAGATGACTTTGGGCTGAGTTTTGCTCAGTAAGACCTCACTGGGTCGAGAGAGGTGGGGAGAAAGGACGAATGGCACCAGCTCTGCAGAGTTCTGAAGCCCTAACACATGGTCAGTGACTGCTTCTGCTGGGCAGAGGGTGGATGCGAAAGAGCCGTAAAAGACAGGGCCAGCAAGGAGCTGGGAGCCATACTGCACAGATCTCCTTAAAAGGATCCCACCGCTGCCCAGCACAAAGGCGGCTCCACTGAGGGACAGGGTGGTGAGCTGTGCACTCTGTGAGGGTGGGAACTGCAACTGCAAGATTTCACAGAGAGTTTCCAGATCACAGGAGCCCAGGACACATGTGGCAGACAATGTTGGCTGGCTGGCTGGCTGGCTGAGTGGATGGGTGGATAGGTGGATAAGCAGATAGATAGATGGATAGATGGGAAAATGGATGGATAGATGGGTGGATGGATGGGTGGATGGACAGGTGGATGGAGGAATGGACAGATGGATAGATGGATGGATGGATGGATGGATGGGAGGATGGCTACCTGGACAGAAGGTAAATGGATGATGGATGGATGGATAGATGGATAGACAGATGGACAGATGGGTGGATGGATGGATGGTTGGGTGGGTAGATGGGTGAATGGATGGATGGATGCTTGGGTGGATGGATGGATGAATGAATGGACAGATGGATGAAGGAAGAAGAGTTAGCAATGGCAGGACACTAGAAGAGCCAATGTCCTTATCAAAGAAGATGGTGAACCACTCAGAACACTCAGGAACAGTTGAGAGACAGATACTGGGGAAACAGATTCCAGGTCTGGGTCTAGTTCTACCACATGCTGGCTGCATGGCTTCTCTGATCCTCTGTTTCCTCACGTGTAACTGGTGATGACGGTAGACCTATGCTAAGTATACCTGTGCTGACCTCACTCACAGGCAGAGAAGCCAGCGTCAGGGGTGGAAAGGTAAATAAGGGTGGGGGGCTCAATCATGCAGAAGGGCAGAAAGGGAGGTGGGCCAGGACCTGGGCACAGGAAGGGGCCTGGAAAAACAGAGAGGATACATGTTTCTTGAGCCCAGGGTCCGGGGCAGGGGGCGAGGAGGAGCCTTGCGAAATACAAGGCACACCCCAGGACCTGGAGGAAGCTTTGGGTGCACCCTTGTGGCCTAGATCCACCCTGGAAGTCAGTGGGGGGATCTGCTGCAGAGAGACACGCATACACCTGGAGGCAGAGTCCAGCCTCGGGCTGTTCGCTGGGCCTCAATGCTGCCTCACCTGGGCCCTCCATGTGGAATTCTAACTGCTCACTTCAGCTTTGCCTTCTGGCTAACTACTAGCAGCATGAGCCTGGCCTCAGCACCCAGCACCCCGCCTGGTGCACAGTGAATGACACAGTGGTGACAGTGAACATGTGCACTGTCCACATCTACCAGGTTGATCTGCTGTAGGTAATTAAATCAAGCAAGTCTTCATTATTAAAATGCAGGCAGTCATTCACCATTCAGCACCAGGAGACATCCTGAGAAATCCACTGCAGCAATTATCCAGTGGCCCTAACCAACCTGGACGTGCAACCTGCCACACACCTGGGCTACGTGCACACTGTCAGAAACGTGTCTGCAGTGATTGACGGGTCACGTGGTGCGTGAAGGTCGCCTAATGATAGGTTACACTGGACCCCAGGCCCTAGAGTGCTCCTGGTGCTCACTGGCCATGGGTCAGTGGGGGACTCTTTACTATCCCTGATGGGAGGGGCTGACCTACGTAACGGTGTCCGAGGGAGGCTTATAAAAGATCTGGGCGCTACAGGAAAAGAATGTGCAGGCTGGCCAGTAACTCACTAAACATGGACGTAAGCCAAAGAGGATTTGTATTGGCGACAAGGGAAATGAAGGGTGTGGCTTCTAGGTGCACAAATGATTCCCTGGCCAGCCAGAGTGGACAAGGTTCTGTGGTTCTTACCACACAGGGAAGGACTGTTGGAAAGTAGCTTCATGAAGGCTCAACAGGCAACTGTTAAAGCTAAATAAGAGTCAAATGCAAAGTTCTGGAGCCACCTCTCATTCTTACCAGACAAAAGCTGCTTTATAGGTTTTGAGTTCGAATCACTGGGTGCTTTCACGTAGTATGGGTAGATCCTTTCTATGGTCCTGGGCATCAAGAAAAGGAAAAAAGGTACAACTGAGTTTTAGCTGCTCCACCCCCCTGTAGTTAATTGGCACATATAATTGATTTTTGCTGTTTTTGACCTTGTGTCGACAAACAACAATGAAGTCTTTATGCACTCATATTATGCATCGGCATCAGGATTTATGGGTTTCCATCGTCCCTGGAGCTGAGAGCATCCACCAGGTCCCCTGGACGCTCCTGGGAACTCAGAGCCCAAGACACTTGGAGGCTGGGAAGCGGCTGCCGGCACTTTCCCAGGTCTGCGGCTCCATTCTGAAGCCAGGAGCTCTCCTTCCTGCCATCGTCTTCCAAAGCTAACCTACGATCTTGACCTTGAGTGCTCCTCTGATTTTGAGTTTTAGGATGAGTGAGGGGCGAGGAGACAGTGGTGACTAGCCCCCTACGCTGCGCCTGCCTCTCTGGGGCTGTGACCAGGGCATGCAGAGTCCCAGGTCCCACGGGAGACCATGGGAGAGGGCCTGGCGACCTCAGGGGCCCTCAGTGCAGTGGCTGAGGAAGGGAGTCATCGGGGACACTGCCAAGGCCTGCGTTCTGCTGGCCCTTACGCTCGTGGGCAGACACCTGGGGTAGTTCAGCTGCAGACCAAGCTCTTCTCTCTGCCCATTCTCTCTCAGCAGGTGCCTGGCTGAAACGGACTTCTCGCGTGGGGGGAGCAGCTTCATTGACCCCTGGCCTTCTCCGCCCCACCTCCCACCCCATCCAGGCAGCCAGGTGAGGTCAGTGCTCCCTGGGCCTGGTGAGCAGAGAGGGAGGGACAGAGACGCTCAGCCACTTGGAGGCAGCTCCCTGTCGGGGAATGTGGAGGCTGTGTGGACACACAGTGGGCACCCTAGAGCGGGCGGCCACCGAGGCCTGGTCAGCTCAGTGCAGTCCTGGCCCCGCCCCCACGTGGGGCTCCCAAAGGCAGTATCCCTGGAGGTGATGGCAGGACCACGGGCTCATGTCATGTCTGGACAGGTGGACCCCAGGGAGCCTGCTGGAGCTCCCACACCCCCAGATGCCCCAGAACCAGCACAAGGCCCAGTAGCTGAGGGAGAGACCCACCCATGGTGATGCTCGGGCCTGGCAGACAGACACTGCGGCTCTGTGGAAGGCTAGCAGGGCAGGGACAGCACTGGCCACGGGCAGGCAGTATCCCTGGAGCCTGCTCCACAAGGCCCTCACATGA